TGAGAGAAGATTATCTGAAGAGAGCTTCTCTGCGATCATGGAGCATATGGATAACTATGTTGGTTTACCAGCCAAGAGACTGGCGCATATTGTCAGACGATACAGTCATCACCGCTCCATGAAGGACATCGGTAATTTTTACATCCGTTTTGAAATAACGATAGTCATAATACTGTTAATGGCAGTAGCTGAGGATAAACCGAATATTCGTAGTTATGGGAATAAAAGTTAAATTTATCCGGATTTCTTGATCAGCAGATCAGAGTATGGTAACTGTCTTGGCACGTGTTAAATACATAACCTGTCTTTGAGAATCTTTAGTGGAGGTTGCATACGCCGAGATAAGAACAATTTTTCCCCTAAACTTTTTGGTGTTCCATGGTAAGTTTTTTCTTGGGTAAAACAACCTATACCGAAAGTAAAAAAGCTTTTCCCGTGTGTGGATGGCTAAAACTGACTAATTCAGCGAGCTCTTCGTAGCATCCTGCTGACCTTTTCACTCACTTTTTTCGCTCCACATCTTGCCATCCCTTCATTGTCAGTTTTGATCATGTATATATTATTTCTTAATACAGAACAAAGTTTGAAACAAGGCGGTAGCCTTGATGAGGGAGTATTCTCAGCCTTGGATAAAATGGAAAAACTGCAAAACAAACGCGCACAGCGCTGGGGAGACAAAATGGACCAATACTCTAACGATCGAGAAAGGCTGGCTCAACAGTTGACGGATTGCTTTGTAAACCTGGAGCAAGAGACGGGAATCTTCCTTATAAAACCAGTGTATTCTTTTAAAGGAAGGTCAGAAAATGTTCATGGCTTGTCTTCAATTGCTTTTCATTCGTATGTTTGCTTGTTTGATTGCTTTTGTTTTCCTTCTCTCACACGGGGTAATCCCGCTATTTTCATGTGATTTTTGTTGTCTTCATTAAATCGTTTAGTCCTTATGTTTACAGACCGGAAGTAAACACTGGATATGTCATAGCTCAGAAGCACAAACCACCTCCAGTACCACCCAAAGCCAGCGGCCCAGTGACCCCAGCACCCACCCCCTGGCTAGGCAAGGGACCTATTCCACCAGGGCTGTACCGTGACTTAACTCAAAGCTCCTTCGCTAGACCTCCCTCCATCCCGACAATGTCCCAGTTAGAAGATGGTACAATGAGGATGAGGGTGACCCGGCCGATGGAAAAAGAGCTCCTGTTAAGCTCTTCACCTGGTATAGCTTGGCAGGCATCTAAGTCACAAGTCTTTGCGACTCCTTCTACTGCTGTTGAGCTCAATACACCCAAGATTTTGGAGCTGGATGTTAATCGTATGATGATTGGTCAAACGGACGTTAGGTACGGTCATTTTATGTTCATCTCGCAACTAGTTTTCGCCTCGGATCCAATCCATGCATTGACGCAACCCCTTTATTTTTGCATTGCTTAGAACTTGGAGTTTAAAACCACCTACAGTTGAACCTCTTAAGTAAGAACATTGGATACTTAGTAGTAGCTGAGATAATGCTGTCCCTATATCTGATCTCTGTTTGTCCTGCGTGTCTTGTCTGTTTTATCCTTCTTCTTAAAAAACCGCCTGATCGCAGGTTTAATTGACTTTGTGTCATTTAGATAGGTGAGAGGTTAGAGTTGAATGTATTATTGGTAAGGGTTGCGAGGAAGTTGTTGTTAGATAAAGAGCAGTCCTAGAAGAAAGGTCCACTTATTTTCTTGCACCTTCACGGAAGGTCACATGATTTTATTTGCCACCAAATATACATTACAGAATTTGTCAATACAACTCGATAGAATGGTTTAGGTGAGGTTAGGTGGACACCAGTCTGTTAGCGTTTTCTTCAACCTTTTTCCTTTCTTTTGTCTACAGCAAGCCTATTTTGGCTTTCGTTGATGCAGGAGAAGTGACATCGTCCGCGGTGAGGAGTTACGTAACAGTTGAGAGACCAACAGGTGGCAAACAAATCAAAAAAGCCAAACATTCATCGGGTATTGACCCTCTCTATACATGTGTTTTTGTTTGTTCAATACTGAATACATAACACGAATGCATAAGTTTTACTTTCAGCTGATAGAAGTGTCAAGTCCTTGCTCACTATTTATCTGCAATTTGACTCTCGAGTACACGGCTATTTCGTGTCAAAGAAAGTGAATCGAGTACCATTCAGGAGGTTCGATGGATCGGCGTCGGATTACTCTTTTCTTATGAAAGGCGTTTTGTTAGCTCCAAGAGAAACAGGTCATAAACCATTATCATCTTGAAAAGTATTAAAAATCGACAAACTCTTAGTTCAGTTGTAGAAGGCGCGGCAACCGAGTGGTTAGTGCTTTCCACTCAGTATCAGCAGGTCCGGGTTCAGTCGCTTCCAGGGGCATTTTGTTGTGTTTTTGGGCAAGACACTGAACTCTCACAAGCCTTACTCTACCTAGGTATAGAAATGGGTACCGGCGAATATATTACTGGGGGTAATCCTGCGATGGATTGGCATCCCGTCCAGAAGGGGGGGGGGTGGGGGCGCTGTGACTGATGTGGGTAAAAGCTATAGGACTTGTATAGCTGGAAACACATCTTGTAGCTCATGGGTCATTACAAATCTGGCATGACATGGGCTTATAGCGAATAAAGAGCTGGAGAAGTTGTCTTGTGTGTATCTGATAACTTTCTTATATTTTGTAGGTATTCAAAATACATCTTCACCGAGCACTGCTCAAGATCCCACGCGCCCTCACAGTGGGCCCCTGTTATCAACTTACTCCCCTCTACCCCCCATACACATGCCAAAATTACGGCAGGAGAGCCGGTCTGGCAAGTCACTTGACAGCGATGCAGTGACACATTCAGAAGCTGGTACACCTGTGTCTCGAAAGATTGAAGACGCTAGACCCAGTACTCGTGGGACTCTTAACGGACATGATGCTCACGTGGGACTTGTAACTCCAGAGATTTTACCTGTTAGATAGCGAATTTTTAGTTTGTAGAGTAAAGTGATGTTTATCAAATGTAAATAAGAAAAAAAAAGAAATGAAAATATTGTACGGTTTATTGTACAGCACACTAAGTTTGAGTAGGATGAGAGTTAAACAAAAACAAAGCCGAAAAAAAAAAGAGAACAAGGGGAGTTTAAAGCACTAGGTTGTAATACATTATGATCCGTGAGAAATAAAATATTTATGTTTATCAGTGCAGAGGTGTGTTGCCGTTTTAGGGATAGTATTTTTGGATAAAGACAACCTTTCCCTCATGCGTCAGATGTGTGTTGCCGTTTTTGGATAAAGACAGCCTTTCCCTCATGCTCTTTGAAAGTTGAGTCCATCGAAGTTTGCGAAAACGCCGCTTACTTCTCAGAAAAGAGGGTTTTTGAATAGGCTTGCTGGAATTTTGTTGTGTTGCAATGAAAAAGTCAATCAAACGCGAGAAAACTAAACCGTCCGCAGCCCTGGATCTTTTTTGTGATCTGCCATCGCACTTTAAACGTTTCTTAAATTTTTCAGATGTTCGAAGTTTTCTGAGTTTGACAGTAAAGAAAGGCCACACTTCTCTGAAGCGCAATGTACAAGGCTTGAATTGGTTGGCCGAAAATCACGCAAAAACTCTGGACGCGGTGCACACCGCAAATGATTTGGAATCACGTGTACGGCAAACACCTGATTCAAGTTCACTGTTTCCCTAGCCTGCGAACAGCAGACGCATTTCTGGTCGTCGCTTTTTCGGAGGGAGAGAAGCGACGACCGGAAATGCGTCTGCTGTTCGCAGGCTACGGTTTCCCATATTAAGAGATGAAAAGATAAAACGTGTACAAAATAATTCTTATAGATGAAGTAGAGATTTAACTTCTTACTTTTATGTAGTCGTAGTGATCACTAAACAGCAAGTAAAGGAAAAACGTAAATGTGATTCTAAATCTGTTTTTTAAAAAAGTTGTCAGTGAAAATGGAGGTTGTCGTAGAGAGCTTCATTTAGCCCGCATTTCCACACCCACAAATTTAAAAAAACCCAGTTCTTTCCTGTTCCTTAATTCGTCAGCCGAACACAACAAAGTTTACATTTGTTTATCTAGCACAGCTTGAGTTCTCTCCAAAGATTTCTTTTTGTTCTGTTTTGACTGAATGTGTGATCAGTTTGCGTGACCTTATAGGTCAATGACGACGTCATAATACACCTAATGTATTCACGTACAGGGAATGTTATTTATAGTGTATCAAGGAAAAAGAAAGATGAATACTTTTGTTGTCCAGATCCTGTCCGTTTTTGTTCTTCTTTCGGGAGTATCAGGTGAGAAATATCTTGAAAGAACGCAAGATGAGATTACAAACATAAACAGCTATCTGACTTATTTGAGTGGTTATGCGCTATGGTATTCCGTATAGCGGTAGAATCGATGATTTATTCGAATTATATCTCGCTAACATTTCTTTCTTTTGGTACTGATTGTTTCTTCATTGCGAAATAAGATTTTGAATAATCTTCAGTTCGTTTCGGTCGACAGTACATATACTTTTCTATGTTTTGCTTCTCTGTTGGATCCGATATGTCAAATTTGAGAGATTGAGGATATGCATCCATTAGTATTGACATGTCATACAGGTAAGCCGAATTTTTAAAGACGACACGTTTTTGCTAAACAATCTAGCTATTCATAATCTCGTCAACATTTACTTTAGTTTGTAAGCTTCAATTCTCTACTTTGGCATTAAAAAATTGTTTGAAAAAGAACTTGAAATGTATACGAAAGCACATTCATTTTAGATTCGACTTCCTTCATCTTCACAAGTTCCTGTTTCGTCGGTTTCGTCTGTAATCATTCGTAGCAGAATGTGCTAGAGAATCGAGTTTTTGGGATCATTCCCCATAAGCAAGTCCGTCCATCCAATGGATGGAAGTGATGTTCCTATTTCTTTGCTTGCGTCGCTGTGTACTTATGCAGAAAAAATTCTAAAGCCATTAAAACAACAAAGACTGATAATTGGAGGTGAATTGGCATCAGACATTACAGCTTATTTTGGACCCCATGCAGTCCCGGGGGTGGGGGGTGGGGGGTGGGGTAGTGTGGGAGTTGCTCGTAAGGTCTCTCCTAATTGGTCCGGCCTGGGTAACTGTTTATCAAAACTTGACGAAACAAGTGTTAATTTATGGTTGTACAATGTAGGCTAAAAGGGGCATGTGATGATCATTCAATAGTCAAGCTATACAAGTGAATGTAGTTAGCAATTCTGGTAACATCAACGTTTTAATTATAGTGAGGAACAGCTGCCATTAGTTTGTTCACGATAAGCTTTTTTTCCATTTTTTTTTTTTTTTGCCTTCTATCTTGCAAACAACAAAAAAAGCTACAATGCTCGAAATTGAAAGGAACTTCAAAAAAATTTTTTTTCCAAGATTAGTTTAGAGATAAAAATAACCAGATTTCAGGAATATTTACGGGCCCGTTTTTCGGATCACAGACCAAATTAGACTCCACTCTCATTATTTTTTGTGGGCTTCCTGTTAATTATAGGCTTTAGTTGAGTGAAGTTTCACGTTAAAACAAGTATTTAGTATCATTCCCTCTTGTACTTTTAATTACTTATAACTTACATTCTGACTATGACCAGGTTTTACCTAAAATCATAGTTTTTATCATTGTTTTCCTTATAACTTAACAGGTGTTAGACATGGTGGTGACCAGGCCAACGATACCTCTCCGGACATTTCTAACGAGAAGTGTCCACTGCAATTAAATACTAAACTTCCCGGCGTGAATTGTTCACTTCCCGACGACTACTTCTGTGGGCAGATCACTTGCTCAGCTCTCTTCAGCCACTTGGATATCAAGTTGACCATTGAAATTTTCCAAATAGATGACTGGCCAAGTAAGCGGATTTCGGCTTATATCAGTTTGTCTGTTCCTGACCGACTGACATGGTCGCACTCATTCTCGGATGGAGAAACGTTTAAGGTTCCTGGGTTCCCCCTGAAAGTGGAAGGTTTTGAGGGAGCTGATGTGTTTTTGCATGTCTCCCTAAAGAAAGAAAATCGCACCATCTATTTCAAGGTAAGCATGACTGAGTATAAGGGCGGTTTCCTGCGCGTTAGAAACTTTTCGTCGGGTGCGCGGGATATTTGGTAGTGAAAACGTTATGTTGTAAACCCCTTTCCCACCCCCCCGCGAACATAACTTCTTTAGCCCTGATGCCCACCCCAATGGTCACAATTTCTACTCTTTCCCAATCTTCTTCTTCAATCGAAATTTGCAGTCATTTGAGTGAAGAGGGGTCAAAAAAGCCGTTTTGTGAGCCCGAGAAGCTCGAAAATCACACCAACCAAGGAAAGAGAAAGGAAAAGAAAGGAAGAGCGAGGAGAAAGAAAGGAGCAATGGTTGCACACTTATAAACATCGCATTTCACATCTGTCAAATTTAATTCAGGTGTTGAATGCGTAGGAAGTTCGGCGTTTAACTGAAATTAAATTCGACAACGCGACTTCCGTCGCATCTTCGACTGAGCCAGTCAAATCTCGACAGAAGTTCAACCGTTGTCTTTTGAGCCGCATCAAATTTTTAAATCATGTTTGATTCATTATAACCCATAATTCTCAATTTTTTCCGAACTCTATAAAAACTCGCTGATGATTCGACGTCGAAAATGGCGGAGTAACTTATTTAAGTAGAACCAAATAGGTATCAGACTTGGCATATGTGAAATTGGACGTTTAAACCGGGCCTAATGAGATACTATTTGCACAATTAAACCTCCAATTTAAACTCTAAAGTTTCTTGCAAAGTTCGTTAAAAAGTAGTTATAACTATTTAAAAATTGTCCAAAATATGTAAAGAAATCAACACTTCAAACAATTCGAGTCAACATTCTTTAATTTACTTTATTCTAGTAATTCTAGCATCTTCGGGAATTAAACGTCATCCCATTCCATTCCGATAATTCCTCGGGGATCATTTCGGGTCGCATGTGAAAAAATTTGGGGATCATTTGGGATCGGGGATCACTTCGGGTCGTGTTTAGGTCGATTTTGGGGATCATTTGGGGTCGGGGATCATTTCGGGTCGCGTACAGATCTAGAATTTTCGTACCATTTGTTGTAAAATTTATTGCTTGCCTGCCTCTCCTAGGATTTTCGAACATCTAAAAAATGGTATAACTGCCATTTTTAACGGATTTTTATCCTGGAGAGGTCACCTAGAATTTTCGGGAGCCTTTTCTCTGGCTGAAATTTTCGAAAACGTAAGTTTTGATCCCCATCATTTCGGAGGCTCGACTCTAGGTCCTCTCCATGATTTTTGCTCTATGTGAACGACTTACCAAACTGTGTCGACAAACTTTCGATGTGGAGCTTTGCTGATGACACCAATTTATTTTACTCTGGCGACAACTTAAAACAGCTTGAATTCATAATGAATTGAGAGCTTAAACAAATTTATAATTGCTGTGCTCTAAATAAGTTATCTATTAACACTGCAAAGACCAATTACATGTTAGTCTCATCATCTACGTTCCACTCAAAGTTAAATATCACTGGCATTGAACAGAAAGATTAAAGTATAAAGTACTTGCACACACTTAAAATTAAAGTGTAACAACACTTAAAATTAAAGTGTAACATTACTCCAAAAAAAAGTGTAAAATCTTTGCCAGCCCCGGCAGCCTTTTTTTTCTGTGTATTATTACACAGTTTATATTAGTGTAATTTAACACACAACTAGAGGTTATGTTTACACACCAATCAGTGTAATGTGAGTGGTTTACACTTTGGTCAAGTGTAAAATTGCAGTTCTTATAAGTGTAATAAAATACTAATAGAACAGTAATATTACACCGAATGATAGTGTAGTAGCTTTGCCAGCCCCGGCAGCCTTTTTTTTGTGTGTATTATAACACATTTTATAATAGTGTAATTTAACACCCAACTAGAGGTTATATTTACACACCAATCAGTGTAATGTGAGTGGCTTACACTTTTGTCAAGTGTAAAATTGCAGTTCTTATAAGTGTAATAAAATACTAATAGAACAGTAATATTACACCAAATGATAGTGTAGTAGCTTTGCCAGCCCCGGCAGCCTTTTTTTTGTGTGTATTATTACACATTGTCCAATAGTGTAATTTGACACGCAACCAGAAGGTTCATTTACACACCAAACAGTGTAACTGTGAATGGTTTACACCTTGGTCAAGTGTAAAATTGCACTTCCCATAGGGGTAATAAAACATTAACAGAAAAGTAATATTACATCAATTTATAGTATTAGGCAAAAAAATTACGCATTTGAAAAATATAGGAAATCACATTTTTAATCACTGAATAATCAGCTAGACTTCTAACAAATAAGTAAAAATGAAAGGTCAAGTGTGCAAGCCATGGTGTGTACTGTCTAACTGCTTAGGAGTGATGCGTACTGTCCTATCACAAATCAGTGCTTAGGGCAGAGCCGGAGGAGGTTCAATGTTTGAGCTGCAAGGTGGTACCCGGGAAAGATAGTTAGCAGGACCTCTTCCTCTCCAATTATTAGTATTTTTACAGTCATGTTGTAATGCCTTTCCCACAGTAAAAATGGATGGCAGTGCATCTGTTTTGTTTCCTCTAGATATTGTCCTCTTGTGGCTGCAACCTGCGTGACAAATGAAATTGAAAAAAAAAAAAAGACTTGTTTTAGTCGATATTAAAGTGTTCTTAATTTATTGTATCGGTCATGAGGGTTGAAAATAGGACCGAGTGTTTTAGAGTTCCTTCTAATTGAACTAACACAATAATGCTCTCTTGACCAACATGGTTAAGGTAAACTACTTAAATTAAATTTCATTCACAAAATAATCACATATTAGGTTTAAGATGTAAAAAGGTTTTTTCTCTAGAGTCTTAGCAATCAAGTACATTTTTCCTCCTCTACAAAACAAAACACAGCTTCAGATATTCAATTCAGATATCAAATCACAAATTAAAATAACTCAAAACATGTGTTATTCCAATCCATGACCCCCAGTAACACTATAGGCGGGCCAAACCACCTGACTGAGTCATTAGTCAAAGGCGGGCATGAAAATTACCACCTTGCATATATAACTACCTGGCCGGTGGACCAGAGCCATGATGAAAACAAACCACACTATTAGACTTTATAACTTGGTATGGAAACAAAAGCTTGACTGGTATACAATTCAGATATCCGATCACAAAATTACTCAAAAAACATGTTTTATTCCAATCAATGACCCCCAGTAACAGGCGGGCAAAACCACCTGACTGAGTCGTTAGTCAAAGGCGGGCATAACCACCTTACATAACTGCCTGGTCGGAGGACCAGGGCCATGATGAAAACAAAACACACCATTAGACTTTATAACTTGGTATCGAAACAAAAGCTTCACTGGTATACAATTCAGATATCCGATCACAAAATTACTCAAAAAACATGTTTTATTCCAATCCATGACCCCCAGTAACAGGCGGGCAAAACCACCTGACTGAGTCGTTAGTCAAAGGCGGGCATAACCACCTTACATAACTGCCTGGTCGGAGGACCAGGGCCATAATGAAAACAAAACACACTATAAGACTTTATAACTTGGTATCGAAACAAAAGCTTCACTATACAATTCAGATATCCGATCACAAAATTACTCAAAAAACATGTTTTAGTCCAATCAATGACCCCCAGTAACAGGCGGGCAAAACCACCTGACTGAGTCGTTAGTCAAAGGCGGCATAATCACCTTACATAACTGCCTGGCCGGAGGACCAGGGCCATGATGAAAACAAAACACACTATAAGATTATTTTTATAACTTGGTATCAAAACGAAAGCTTCACTATACAATATTATTCAGATATCCGATCACAAAATTACTCAAAAAACATGTTTTAGTCCAATCCATGACCCCCAGTAACAGGCGGGCAAAACCACCTGACTGAGTCGTTAGTCAAAGGCGGACAAAACCACCTTACATAACTGCCTGGCGGGTGGACCAGGGCCATGATGAAAACAAAACACAGCTATACCACTTTATAACTTGGTATTGAAACGAAAGCTTCAGATTCAATTCAGATATCTGATCACAAAATTACTCGAAAAACACGTTTTATTCCAATCCATGAGTCCCCTGGAAACAAGCAGGCAAAACCACCTCACATAACCACCTGGCCGGTGGACCAGGGCCATGATGAAAACAAAACACAGGTAAAGTAATGAAAATGATATTAAGCCTTTTACGCCTCGTGCAATTACAGGTTTTTGTATGCGAAATCACATATAAAAATTAGACAAGCTTAATATATTTTTCTGGTTTGGATTTATCTCTATTCTACATATCAAATACAAGTCGATGTACAGGTCCGGTACGAATAGCCACTAGGTATAATGTAAGAAAAATAAATAAAGATAACTTACATTATATCAACATTTGGGATCAAAAGGTGCAAAATTCTGTGTTTTTTGAAGCATTTCTACCGATCATTTGAATAGTAAATGTATGGAATCAAATGTCGCGCGTGACATCACGATCCCCCGAACAGTTCGGGTGGTACGCTTGTAATACACGTCTTTTGTTTGCAAAGAGCAAAACCACTCGAATTAAAAAGTAATTAAATTCGCTATAAATATTTAAGCTTCAATTTGTGTCTGCAAAAACAACAAGGTGATACAATGCAGTCTTCGCTGTTGATGTCATGTCACGCGACCTTTTGGCGGTTAAAAGCAAACGAACAACCAACGGCAATATTCACAAAACATTTCAGTCAGCTTATATCCAGTATTTATATTTCTAATGTTAGTCGTAGATATCTGTCTCCTCTCAGGCTATTCTCCTAACAAGCCTAAACAAAAATTTGAGGCGAAATAGCGAGGTTATCGAGATTTCAAAGCTAAACACCAAACAATGCGCTTTTGATATCGCATCGCGCTCTCCCACAGTAGGAAAACCGCTCAAGGTGTTGCAGTACGGTAAAACAATACTTCAGAAGCCTCAAGAAATCTAGGGCCAGACTATAGCTTTAACATAAAACTCAGAAATTACGGAAAGTATACTCACCTCGAAATGCGAAATGCGCCGTCGTAATCTTTGAACATGTTTGAATGCATGGTTTTTGCTCTCTTCTTAGCAGTCATTTGGAGCCTCCATCATCCTTGGCTCTAACAATCGGCCCTACATCCTTGTTAACTTGAAATCAATGAAGACTTTGAGTTAAAATCTTCAAATTTACGGCGCTTAATTTTAGTACAACCTTCGTGGAGGACGGTTGGAACAAAAGATGAATACAAACGGTATTCAAGTGTCTTTATCGGCAACATCATCGATCCTGATTGCACGAAAATTCGCGCCCTGTCACTTAAGCTCCTGGTCACGGACTAATGATACGTGATCTTTGGATCTGCTGCGGCTTTTGACTCAGTCACGTAATTTATGTTGCTGTAAATTTCCTCTTCGAGAACACGCGGAAAAGGAACATGGTCTGAATTAAATCGATAGTACGAATACAATGGACAATGAAGAAAAAAAAAGAAAAGAAAAGAAGAAGAAGAAAGAAAACATAGTGTTACATTTCTCAGGAAAGATAGAAACCCGCACAAATGACAGTCCTGTCACTGGAGTGATGCATGTTAGCGGTTTAGGTCATTTCATTAATTTAGCTAAAACACCTTGCAATTTACACATGTATACAAATGCAGTTGCGTGAATTTCGTACGATATATCTGAAATGAGACCTTAGACTGCAGCTGAAGTATATACCTGCTACATGTACAACTAGCGGCTCAGATAACTTATTCACGCGATGAAGATTTTCTTGCTTCGATACCTTTTTTTTTAAAAAGAGAGTGGGTGTTTTATTCTATAAACGTATAAGTGCACATGTGAGTGCATAATTACCTCCGCTGTGGTATACATTTACTCTGTAAGTAAATGTTAAAAATACCTATTGTTTCAGCCTAAACGTGGTGTAAAAATACTCAAAATAACGAGTATCACTACACCATAATTTCTGTGTAGTGTTTTACACCATAAAAAGTGTCACTTTATAATTTTTCTTTTCTAACAATACACTTCAATTTTAACACTTTTAGTTGGTGTTAAAGTACCCGAAAAAACGAGTAACAGAACACTACAAATTGTGTAATATTACTCTGTGTTATTAGTATACTCTAACACCGATAGGTGTGTTTAATTCTATAAGTTTATTAGTGTAAAATTACCTTTACTATGGTATACATTTACGCTGTAAAAACGGGTAAAATGTACACCGTGCCCTGCGTGTAATGTTACAATAAAAAAAAATTGTAAAAGTATACCTTTAACTGTGTAATATTATCATGTTAAGAGTTCCAGCTCTTCTACACTAAAGTTTGCGTAAAATTACCCGACATAAAGCGTAACACAACACTGAAAATTCTGTGTAACGCTTTACTCGTTAAAAAGTGTAATATTACAAATTTTCCTTTGTCACATTACACTTTAATTTTAAGTGTGACTATGGTACATAAAGTACTTGGGAGTTTATATAGATAAACATCTCAATTGGCAACCTCATATACAACACGTAAATAATAAATTAGCTAAAAATTTAGGAATCCTTTCAAAACTAAGATGTTACATAGATCTGAATATACTGAAACAAATTTATTATGCTTTAATGTATCCTTATTTGCGTTACGGTAATTTTGCTTGGGGATGTGCCACCAAAACCAGATTAGATTGTCTTCGTATTAAGCATAACAAATGTCTCCGCACCATCTTCTTTGTACATCCTAGAGAGAGTGCTGCTCACTATTTCAAAATCCTAACAATCCTTAAATTAGATAATATATATAAATTAAAAATATGTTGCTATATACATAGAATGCGAAATGAAACTGATAGCATTCCAGATATTTTCCTTGATGTCCTGACCCCAGCATCGCGTATACACAATCATAATACAAGATTTGTCAGTAATCTGAATTATTTTAGACCAAGAGTATCCACCAACTTAGGTAAGACGTCCTTTAAATCCTCCGCTCCAAAACTTTGGGAGACTGTACCGCCTGGTCTCAAGTGTCTGTTGTATCATAAGTTTAAGAAAGAATGGAAGTCCTATCTCCTAAGCAACTAAATCTGACCTTGCTTATATGTTCTATCACTGACATTTTCTGAGATTTTATTCCTCTCTTTACTGCGGCCGATTATTTGAACGTGAGGGTGTCCAACAAGAAAGCTCTTGCTACTTTGGACACTGTACAGACAAGTGAACTTAATGTCTTTTAGTTAATTATTATTTGTCAGCTAGTTTATTTTCCTATCTACGTACACTTATGTAAATATCTTATATAGTGTGAAATAAAGAATTGAATTGAATTGGATTACTAGACTTTCAGCTAGGAAATCTGAACAGGTGAAAAATTTTTAGGGGATAAAAATATGCCTATATCTGCCGTTTAAATACTAAAATACGTTCAACAATGCTATGTTTAAGTGGTTTTGAACTATATTCTCGTTGGGTGCCCCTTAACTTTGTCAGTGAATCAAAGGAATGTGTATTGCGAAGAGGGAAGAAGCTGGAAAATAATATATCAGGCTGACAACTTATGATCATGAGTGATCCGTTTCTTTTTCTCTTTACTTTTCTGTTAAGTTTTTATTCCACTGTTATTTTGATCAGGTTGACTTGCACGCTAGTAACCCCACAACAGAGGCAACATACAGCACAACCATCTTTGCGGGAAAAACGCCAGACGATGCCATTCCAACCACGGTAGTTTGCCGTTTTGGTCCCTTTGATGGTAAGTACAGTCGACTCCAGATAACTCGAATCCTCGCTAACTCGAACCTCGCACTAACTCGATCCAAAATCGATTTCCCCTGGATTTCCTTCATACATTTACTGTCGTTTTACCCTCGGTAACTCGAACCCTCGATAACTCGAACCCTCGATAACTCGAACCTCCCGCTAACTCGAAGTAATTTTTGTTTTCTATACCAGTAATAGTTGACACTACAGCTGCCCCCGCTCTGTATATATCTGTATATCTCTTCTTATGAATTCTTCTGATTATTTAATTAACTGTCAATTAGTTTCATTTATCTTGCAATGCTTTGAATTAAGAACCAAATTAATATCAATGAATGAATGAATGAGAACTGTAACGTTTTGTAATCTTTTGCACGTACTAATTAGTTGAATTAGTACTTAAATTTAGACTAATAACTTTTGCAATACTGTAATTCCTTTATGGTCACGCAAATAAAGCTTTTGGTGTTGTTGTTGTTGTATATTGTCGGTCAATAGTATTCTTGCTCGTTGTGTAGCTCTTTGAAATATACTGATTCATAATGAAGATTTTCACACATATTCCATACAATAGGTGAGATAAATACAGGAAACGCAAGGTTCCATGCACAGTTACAGTTCGATTTACACAGCTTCGATCAAACATTCTCAGTTTCGAGAATAGTTTATTCTAAACCATAAGGAAATATTTAATAAGAAGTTGAATTTTTCGCTATTTCTTTTCCACTTTTTACATTCAGTTCATTTTATTTGCGCGCCGGAAAGGCCATGTCCATAAAACGTTTCTTTTCTCATCGCCCTCCCTCTCGTGAAGGTGGGTCGGTCGGTCGGGCAAAAAAAAAAATAAAAATAAGAATGAACGCATGATTGCATATTGAATCTCACGTTTAGTCTGCAAGATATAATCACATGGTAAAATATGTATATTAACAGGACTATCAGATGTCTAGATAGGCTACAAAAACGAAGTATCGATGATAATTTAAGACAATTGGTGTTAATAAGGCAAGATCGTGTGCTTGTAAATTTTAAAAAGTACTTGCTTCTTTACAAGTGATTCTGGAATTTTTTTTTCTTTTTTACTTTTCCAAAAAAATGGGTCGGTCGGGCGATGGGAAACGAAACATTTTATAGCAATGGCCAAAGTAAGCCTTAGAAATTAAAAGGACGTTTGATCAACTACGCTCGCGCATTCTAACGGAAGGAAATCTGTGAGCAGGGAATACTGGTCAGCACAGAATTTGATTGTCGGCGAATTTCTGTAATCGTCCATCGTTCTGCTAGTGATAAGCTAGGAGTTGTTCACTCGTCGCCGGCTTGTTTGGGGCTGAGTCTTAATCCGGTCAAAGAGAGAAAAAGAGTGTCTGGCAAGGTTTCCAATCAAAGATTTGTGAACTCGTGTCTGACAAACTCTGCAAGTGTTTATATATACACAGTTATACGCACCTTATAACTTGATCTGCGCTTAACGAGTGTCTTTTGGTCCATAACTTTCAAAACAACTGCTCCACAGTATGTCACTGATAACACGTAACCGCGCAAAAGAGTATAGAAGTATTTGACTGCACAATAAATGTCACAAAATCTACCTAAGCGGTCCCTTCGAGATTTTCTGTCTTAACGTCATCCTAGTAGCCATTTCGTACTTGCGGCCTCTGTTCAAGCAAATCGATATTTTTCCTGGCATACTGACTGTACAGTAAAAACCCACGAGTAAGAACCTGCATTTTCCAGCGTTAGCCTAAACAGGTTCTTACATAAATGATAGTTAACATAAATTTAGGCTATCTAGGTTCTTAATAGGTTCTTAATTTCTTGCAAAAAAATATGTCGTTGCTAAGAAGATTTAAGTGATCAGCACCCTTAAATTTACATACCTAACATTAGAATTGACATGTAGCAACTACTCATCCAGATTGATCATACATTTATTATACCATTTCTCTTTAAGTAAATATTTTTAAATGATTTTTGAAAATAAGAACCTTTCTCCAAATTTTAGGCTTAAGAGGTCCTTATGTAGAGGGGGTCTAAATTGCAAATTTTAGCCTAACAGGTTCTTAAATCTTAGGTTCTTACTCGTGGGTTTTTAATGCATATTTCAACTGTACGTACATTCCTTAATATACGCGCGAGTTACTAGAGTGTCTCATCGGGATTTCCCCCTCTGGTCGAAATCCCTGCGGAGACAATAAATTTACCCTTGATAACTCGAACCATGTTTTGAGCCCTTATAAAGTCGGGAAAAAAAAACAGTGTACTGACGTCCGAAACATTGAATTTTGAATTTTCCAATGACGAGTACATGTTGTAGGCATATAGCTTACAAGTGGAGGTTAATGTTGTTTGTCACAACTGATCTTACCGGAAACAGCTTCGCTTCTCAAAACAGTTAAACGCATGCTCCATTTGCGCTCTGTTTTGTCATGTTACGTTCTGATTTATAGTCTAGAAGCATCGTTCCATTTTTACTTCAGTGATATTTCTACAGTGAAATGTGATTAAAATGTTCACTACAGTAAAAACTGGTTTCTCCCTTACTTCCGGCTATTTGTTTCGAGCTCCCGATAACTCGAACTTTTTTCGATTTCCCTTGAAGGTTCGAGTTATCGGGAATCGACTGTATGATGTAACTAGATGTACTAATGAGCATCTTCAAAACTATAAAAGCACAGGTGATTAGTCATGAATTAGTGCTTTCAAGTGGAGTTTTAATGCAGCTAATTATGTACGGCTGTACAGTCAACTCTCTCTAAGACGGACACCTTTGGGACCGGCACTAGCTGTCCGTCTTAAAGAGATGTCCGTCTCGTAGAAAGTCAAATAGAGGGAGCAAAGAAAGGCAGGAACCAACTCTAGGTGTCCGTTTTACAGAGGTGTCCGTCTTAAAGAGATGTCCGTCTTATAGAAAGTCAAATAGAGGGAGCTAATTAAAGCAGGGGCCAACTCTAGGTGTCCGTTTTACAGATTTGTCCCTCTTATAGAGGTGTCCGTTAAGAGAGAGTCGACTGTATACAGCTTCACAACTTGACGCAAAATGGAACGATCACGGATCATTTCAAAGAAGCATCGTGAAAAGGCTCAGTATAAAGCGTCAGCATTGAATTCACGTTACTTTGTCAGTGACTTGTGGTATGTTTGATTTTCCCGCGCTCGGTCATGGCACTCGCGGAACGAATTTTAAAAACAGGTTCTATTAGTTTATTGCCGTATGATAAGGCCAGATATTTTTAGGCCATAATCAAACTATACCCGGATATCTTTTCGTGCCGGCACGAAAACCTAGTATAAACACCTATCTGGTATGTGACTTTTCATTTTCGAAATCGACGCAGCACAGCTTCGTTTCGTTACAGAAATCGCGCCGAGCTGATCACCGTTGTTATGTGTGAACAGAAGCCATATCCCGGCGGTATGGTTTTCGTGCCGGAGCTAAAGACTATTTGGTACATAGCCTTCATGTGAAATTCTCCTTTATGGCTGACAATGCCTTTGGCGTTTGTGCCATCCGCTTATGCAGGGCGCAGGTATTGCCAACAAAATACAGAAACATCAAAAATACTCCACCATCACGGAGCTCAGTCAGAAGAAAACAGGACATTGTATATTGCTAAAACTTTCCTTTAATTTGATACCTTTCTTCTTTTCCGCTTCATACAGATAAATCAGATTTTTCCAAGGTTCTGATTGCTATGGCAGTTTGTGCACTGGTATTTTTCCTAATCGTTATCGCCACCTTTTACTACTTGTGCAAGAAGAAAAAGGTAACCGCTGGCCAAGTGAAACCTTCCAAGCCTCCTTCCTATGAAGAGGCTACTTCGATCAAGAACAAGGTTCCATTGCAGCCACTGATCAATGAAGTGTAGGACGTCGGCGCAGCTCTCAGTTTAAATCTCAAGCCTTAGTGTTCAACTTAGCTTTGCTTTGGGAGATATTCGTTTTTAGACATTTGGATATGCCAGCTGTTAAGATAAACCATCTAATTAACTAGTTTTTATTATGATGGGAGATGGACTGCTGGTGTTTATCTTTCTGAACTGAAAAATTGCTCGCAGACCTCGCACATCTTGTCTCTAACTTGACATTGGTTTTACAGTCAACTCTCTCTAAGACGGACACCTTTGGGAGCGGCACTAGCTGTCCGTCTTAGAGAGATCGATGTCCGTCTTATAGAGAGTCAAATAAAGGGAGCAAAGAAAGGCAGGGACCAACTCTAGGTGTCCGTTTTACAGAGGTGTCCGTCTTCTAGACGTGTCCGTTAAGAGAGAGTCGACTGTATTTTAATTAATTTCTACCTTTAGAGTTAATTGCATGTTAATAAAGATTGAAAACCTATACAAAGGATAGAGTATAAGAGTAGGGAAAATCTTTAATTGCGGGAGAAAGAGAAGACGGAGAAACTAAGAAAGACAAAGCCGAGAGAAAGACAAGGGAGAAGCAAGAGAGAAGTCCGAGAAACTGAGAAAGAAAAGGAAAAAGTACAGAGGCGAAAAAATGTAAGGCAGAGAACGAGAACTGTGGAGCAAACGGAATAAGGGTTTATAATTGAAATCTTAGTTAAAGAGTACAAGTAACTTTCAATATATCGTCTAGTCCGTCTGAGAGACTCTCAATAACTCCGCACTGGTGGAGCACATTTCATTTACTCCATCCCGGCGGAGAACCTCCCACTTTTCTTTCACAAACACCCTCTCGACTTACCTATACATAGATATCGCATTAAAAGTCTGTTCAATAATTATGGGTGTCTTTAGCAGCATTTGAATGAGCTTATGTAAAAGATCACCTCTGTAGCTGCAGTATTTAAGCTTTAAACTGCCAGAGAAATCAGGGGAAATTGGGTGCGCGAGTTGAGGGAGGGAAGGCAACGGCCGATTGTGGCAGAACTGTTTTGGGCACAACTGAGACAAATGTGCATAGAGTTTTACCGTTCAAACCTTAAAGAGAACGTGACACTTTCTAAAGCATAGAAAAACGCTATTAAATCACACGGCTAATTCTTCATAACCAGCTAGCATTGACCACATTTGCGATATCTGATAAATGTTATCAATACTAACACATAGGATAAGCGCCAGAAAAAGGAATGTAAACCGAGAAGCCCCGGGGAGAGGTTGCGTTTTCACCGACGGATGACATTCGCTAGACTGATTTCTCTTTACAGTCCTACACTTGCCTAGAAACAGGCAGGTGAAGACTAGACCTTAACATTGATCGAGGTAAGACAACAACAACAGTTTATTTCTACTACTGTAGACAACTAAAAGAATTTACAAGAATATAACTATTTATTACATCCACTTTGAAATCACTGAATATCCGTGCAATCTGATTGGCTCTCAGCAGTGTGATTTATTCCTAAATCGCACCATTTTTTGCTCTAAATCGCGTCTGTTCCAAATCGCGTCATTCATGTTCTAAATCGCATCATTTCTGTTTTAAATCGCACCATTTTTGCTCTATATATCGCATCATTTCTGTTTCGAATACAAAATGAGATGTAAAAGCCTTTTTGTTTCGGCTTTATAACAAACCGGCTACTCGGTGAATAAAGTATTAGTACTGACTAAATTCTGCGATTTCAAAATGGATGTAATAAAGTGGTAATTGAACTTCGTGTCGTGCAATTTTGGTCGGAAATCATACTTGTGATTTCAAATCAAACTCGCGCTGCGCGCTCGTTCGATTTTGAAATCACGCGTATGATTTCAGACCAAACTGCACTCCACTCAGTTCAATTACCATTATAAATAAATAAATTAATTAATTAACAGTACATACAGTAGTGGGACACCCAAAACTCTGGGCGCGATGCACACCGCAAAAGATTTGAATCACGTGTACGGCAAACACCAGATTCAAGTTCACGGCTTCTCATATTAGGAGATGAAAAGATAAAAGCTGTACAAAATAATTCTTATCGATGAAGTAGAGATTTAACAACTTACTTTTATGTAGTCATAGTGGTCTCTAAACAGCAAGTAAAGGAAAAACGTAAATGTCATTCTAAATCTGTAATAAAAACAGTTTTCAGTGAAAATGGAGGTTGTCGCAGGGAGCTTCATCTAGCCCGCATTTCCACACGCACAAATTTTGAAAGAACCCAGTTCTTTCCCGTTCCTTAATTCGTCAGAAAACGCAATAAAGTTTACATTTGTTTATCTAGCACAGCTTGAAGCTGCTTGAGTTCTCTCGATCTGAAACGCAGATTTCTTTTTGTTCCGTTTTGACTGAATGTGTGATCAGTTTGCGTGACCTTATGGGTCAATGACGACATCATAATACACCTAATGTATTCACGTACAGGGAATGTTATTTATAGTTTATCAAGGAAAAAAGAAAGATGAATACTTTTGTTGTCCCGATCCTGTCCGTTTTTGTTCTTCTTTCGGGAGTATCAGGTGAGAAATATCTTGAAAAAACGCAATATGAGATTATAAATATAAACAACTATCTGACTTATTTGAGTGGTTATGCGCTATGGTATTCCGTATGGCGGTAGAATCGATGATTTATTCGAATTATATCTCGCTAACATTTCTTTCTTTTGGAACTGATTGTTTCTTCATTACGAAATAAGATTCTGAATTATCTTCAGTTCGTTTCGGTCGACAGTACATATACTTTTCTATGTGTTGCTTCTCTGTTGGCTCCGATGTGTCAAAAGATATGCATCCGTGAGTGTTGACATGTCATACAGGTAAGCCGAATTTTTAAAGACGACACGTTTTTGCTAAACAATCTAGCTATTCATAATCTCGTTAACATATATTTTAGTTTGTAAACTACAATTCTCTACTTTGGCTTTAAAAAATTGTTTGACTGAGAAAGAAAATGTATACGAAAGCACATTCATTTTAGATTCGACTTCCTTCATCTCCATAATTTCCTGTTTCCTCTGTAATCGTTCGTAGCAGAATGTGCTAGTGAATCGAGTTTTTGGGATCATTCCTCCATAAGCAAGTCCGTCCATCCAATGGATTGAATCGATGACCCTATTTCTTTGCTTGTGTCGCTGTGTACTTATGCAGAAAAAAATTCTAAAGCAATTAAAATAAATGGAGGTGAATTAACAATTTAAAATGGAGTCCGACATTGGCCGGCCGGGGGGGGGGGCCGGGGGGGAGTGTATGAGCTGCTTGTAAGGTCTCTCCTAATTGGTCCGACCTGGGTGAGTGTTTATCAAAACTTGACGAAACCAGTGTTAATTTAGAGTTCTACAATGTAGGCTAAAACGGGCATGTGATGATCATTCAATAGTCAAGTTATACAAGTGAATGTAGTTAGCTATTCAGGTCACATATCAACGTTTTTAATAAAAGTAAAGAACAGTTGCCATTAGTTTGTTCACAATAAGCTTTTTTTTCCATTTTTTTCTTCTATCTTGCAAACAACAAAAACGTTACAATGCTCGAAATTGAAAGGAATATCAAAAAAAGTTTTTTCAAGTGTTAAAATTTTCCGAGATTAGTTTAGAGATAAAAATAACCAGATTTCAGGAATCTTTACGGGCCCTTTTTTCGGATCACAAACACCCTCGTGGGAAAAGCGCCCTGGGGACGAGGTTGGAAACACAGTCCTAATTAGACTCCACTCAGTCTTTATTCTATCATTATTTATTTTTTAGTTGTGAGCTTCCTGTTAATTATAGCCTTTAGTTGAGTGAAGTTTCACGTTAAAACAAGTATTTATTACCATTCTCTCTTGTACTTACTTATAACTTACATTCTGACTATGACAAGGTTTTACCTAAAATAGTAGTTTTCATCATTGCTTTCCTTTTAACTTAACAGGTGTTAGACAAGGCGGTGACCAGGCCAACGATACCTCTCCGGACATTTCTAACGAGAAGTGTCCACTGCAATTAAATACTAAACTTCCGGGCATGAATTGTTCAGTTTCTGACGACTACTTCTGTGGACAAATCACGTGCTCAGCTCTCTTCAGCCACGTGGATATAGATTTGACCATGGAAATTACCCGAGTGGATGATTCAGATTGGCCAAGGAGGTACATTTCGGCTTATATCAGTTTGTCTGTTCGAGACAACCTGACATGGTCGCACTCATTCCTTGATGGAGAAAAGTTTAAGGTTCCTGGGTTCCCGCTGAAAGTGGAAGGTTTTGAGGGAGCTGATGTGTTTTTACAGGTCTCCCTAAAGAAAGAAAATCGCACCATCTATTTCAAGGTAAGCATGATTGAGTATAAGGACGGTGTCCTGTGCGTTAGAGACTTTTCGTCGGGTGCGCGGAATATTTGGTCGTGACAACGTTATGTAGACCCCTTCCCCACTCCCCGCGAACATAACTTGCCCACCCCAACGGTCACTATTTCTACTCTCCCCCAATCCTCCTCTTAAATAATCGAGATTTGCAGTCATTTGAGTGAAAAAGGGTCAAAAGGCCGTTTTTTGAGCCAACGAAGGAAAAGGAAAGGAAAAAAATAATAGAGCGAGGAGAAAGAAAGGAAGAGAAGAAAAAATAGCAATGGTTGCACACTTAATTAGCTTTTATAATGGCTACTTTGAAAGCTTTTGGCTGAAAAAAACTCAGTGTTTGACGGTAACGTTTTTAAAAATCCGGCTAGATATGTATGACCTAGAAAAAAAGCTGCTTTGTTCTGTAGTACAGCAAATCTTGAATTTTCTAATTACAAAGTTATAACACTGCAAACGCAAGGCTGATACAATGGTTATAAGGTCTGCTAATAAGAATCAAAAGCGATTCACGTAACTTTGTCAGTGAATCAAAGGAAGGTGTACTGCGAAGAGGGAAGATGCTGGAAAAGAATATATTAGGCTGACAATTTATACTCATGATCGGTTTCTTTCTTCTCTTTACTTTTCTGTTAAGTTTTTATTCCACTGTTATTACGATCAGGTTGACTTACACGCTATATGGAGTAACCTCACAACAGAGAAAACATACAGTACAACGATCTTTGCGGGAAAAACGCCAGACGATCCCATGTTAACCATTGCAGTTTGCCGTTTTCGTCCCTTTGATGGTAAGTATGATATAACTAGATGTACTAATGATCATGAGCATCTTCAAAACTCTAACAGCACATGTAATTAGTGCTCACAACTGGAATTTTAACGCGGCTTCTGAACGCCTGTATACAGCCGCACAGCTTGGCGCAAAATGGTTGACCGAACACGGATCATTTCAAAGAAGCATTGCGAAAATGGCTCAGTATATGCCGGCACGAAAACCCTAGTATAAACACCTATCCGCTATGTTAGTTTCCACTTTCGAAATGGACGCAGCACAGCTTCGCTCCGTTACAGAAATCGCGCCGAGCTGATCACCGTTTTTTTGTGTGAACAGAAGCCATATCCCGGCGGTATGGTTTTCGTGCCGGAGCTAAAGACTATTTGGTACATATCCTTCATGTGAAATTCTCCTTTATGGCTGACAATGCCTTTGGCGTTTGTGCCATCCCCTTATGCAGGGTGCAGGTGTTGCCAACAAAATACAAAAACATCAAAAATACTCCACCATGGTCTACCATCGCTGAGCTCAATCAGAAGAAAACAGGACATTGTATATTGCTAAAATTTCTTTTTAATTTGATAACTTTTTTCTTTCCCGCTTCGTACAGGTAAGTCAGATGATCATGAGCGCCCATTTCATAAAAGATTCCATGCGTTCCCGACTTTTTCCAAGGTTCTGATTGCTATGGCAGTTTGTGCACTGGTATTTTTCCTAATCGTTGTCGCCACCTTTTACTACTGCAAGAAGAAAAAGGTAACCGCTGGCCAAGTGAAACCTTCCAAGCCTCCTTCCTATGAAGAGGCTACTTCTATCAAGACCAAGGTTCCGATGCAGCCGCTGATCAATAAAGTGTAGGGCGTCGGCGCAGCGTTTAGTTTAGCCTTAGTGTTCAACTCGGCTTTGCTTTGGAAGATATTCGGTTTTTGATATTTGAATATGCCAACTGTTAATATAAACCATCTAATTAACTAGTTTTGATTAGATGGGAGATGGACTGCTGATGTTTTTATATGCCAATGGTTTATTTTTCTGAACTGAATCAGCTGAATCAGCAATTTCTTGCTCGCACATCGTGTCTGAAACTTGACATCGGTTTTATTTTAATTAATTTCTACCTTTAGAGTTAATTGCATGTTAATGAAGATTGAAAACCTATACAAAGAATAGAGTACTGATAAAAGTACGGAAAACTGCTTTAATTGCGGGAAAAAGAGAAGACGGAGAAACTAAAAAAGACAAAGCTGAGAGAAAGACAAGGGAGATTCAAGATAGAAATCCGAGAAACTGAGAAAGAAAAGGAAAAAGAGCAGAGGCGAGAAAATAGGGAGCTTAATAAGCAACTACGACGATAGTCCAGTCAATCTAGGCGTTTTCGAGGCTCAACATCAAAGTAATTGCAACACAATTGTTTTCAACGCCATTTAAGTAAGGGTGGCCTATCTAGCAACATACTAAAAATCCGCCAAATTCCGATCGGTAGAAGACGTCAAAATTAAGCGTTAAACATTTTGAGCTTTAAACACAGGCAACCCACGTTATGTGAAATATACGTTAAAACAAAAAATGCACAAACTGTGTTTGTTACTTTTATGGAAAAGTGAAAGAAGAAAGAATAACTGCTACCTAGTTTTCGGTGATAAAAACGAAGCGTTTCTTTTTTCAAAAAGGATAAATATTATACACGGTTGGCTTTTGCACAGAAAGCCCATGCTCGACTCTAGGAACCCCAAAATAACAGGAGGCTTACAGAGTAATAGAGTGAACCGTTGGCTGTAAAACTACAACAAATTTAGTCGTAACGCTTTAAATCTGAAAAATGATGGCCGTTACTTAATCATTGGCTTTAAATATATGTATATATTCTTTTTTTTCATCAGATTTCTGTTAGCCGCAAGAGTAAGAAAAATATATATCTAGCTGGATTTTTAAAGAAAGTTACAGCCAAAATAGAGCTCTCCCCTCCAACAGTTTTCTCTTTCAAAAACTATCTCCAAAGAAGTCAACATTCTAGGGGATTTTCGGGCTGATTTTGGCTTCGGCTTTTGGTCTTTTTCTCAGTCAAAAGACTGCAGTTTTCGTTCGGTAGGTTTTCAAAAACCCAGCAAGATTAATGCTTTGGCTCTTACGGCTACCTATACATTTATTTTCGTTAACGTACTGACATCCTCAAATATACAAGTTTTACTTTTTTTAAGCTTTTCGTTTTCCTCTTGTTAAAAGTGAATTGGAGAGGAGGGAAGGATATTTTTATACTAATTCTTTACGATGCACAACAATGCAGCGTTTTTGAGCAGGTTAAGCTCCAATGCCTATGAATTTGATAAGAGGGAAGTGCGTTTTCATTTAAGGAAAAGTGTTGCTACCTTCGCAAAAAAATTATAATGGTTAACGGAACATTCATCAATCAATCAATCATTTATTTTAACAAGTTACGTCAAAGAGCTAAAAAAACTCGTTCAAAATTAGCCTGCGTGGCAGGCACAAAAATACGAACGTGTATAAATAAAATCTATAGTAATTACAGCTATATAATATTATTCAATGTTAAAAACAACTCAATAAATATATACATGTAAAAAACTTGGTAATAAAAACATAAAATATAAAAAGCTAAAACCGACAAAAAAGCCACATACTAAAACGTGACTAGGAAAACTATAATACTCGTTCTAAAAGCAGTTAAAAGCTACAATCGTGCACTATAAGACACGTTCTAAAAAGCTGCAGTCGTGCAATTTACTTCTGAAGTCATTAGCATCACTCGAAAGACGCACTTTAGAAGGCAAACTGTACCGTAACTTAGTTAATGAATAAGTGAAAGAATTCTTCTTAAACTTAAGATTAAAGTTAGGTAATTCCAAATTCAAGCCCTCGCCTCTTAGCCTATACGGTGTATGCCTTTATTGAAAAAGGCTTCCAATATAAGTAGGTCCTGTGCCATGCATTTAAGCATTTAAAAAGAAGTATTAACACCTGGTGTGAGCGCCTACAATATAAGGATTTCATGCTAGCCGTAGTGAGCAGCTCGTCGTATGACATTGACTTGTTGTGCCCGATTAATGTTCTCAAAATATAACAGTTGCCATCTTCGAGACGGTTGCGTTGACCCATGCCTATGCCTACGAACGGTATTCGAGATGACGTAATATAAATGCTTTGTAAAGTTTTATCATTGCATCATGCAGAGGCCTTCGCGTAGGCTTTCTTTAGTTGATCTGATATGTGTTCTTTATAGGATAGGTCCTTGTCTAGAGTAACTCCGAGAATCTTAATAGATCGGAGAAATTCTATTCTAGCATTATTAAGAAATAAAGAATAATGATAGGCACAGGGTCCGACAGATAATGCTTGAGTCTTAGTACTGTTCACTGTTAAATGGTTAGACTCAAACCACGACGAAAGAGTCTGAAGATCTTTGTTGAAGGAAAATTCTAGAATGGTGGGAGATACATCAGACAGGTAGGCAGTCGTGTCATCAGCGTACAGCCGCAATGAGACATTGGGAACCCAGAAATTCAAGTCATTAATGAATATGTTGAACCGCAACGGCCCCAATAGTGAACGTTGAGGAACGCCAGATTTAACTGTTTTGAAGTTAGAGCATACGCCTTCTAATCTGACACATTGTTGACGACCTAGCAGGTAGGTGGACATCATCGCATAAGAACTTTGGTTCCAACAAACGTTTGCATGTTTCAAGAAAACGAAATACATGGAAGCAGGTTTTTAAGAGAAAGATTAACTCCGGGTAGCCAAAACAATGCGTATGTAAAAATATATTGTAAGAGTCCATGGAGTATTGGAAGTTCCCCACACAGAGCATAATTTACGAAACGCAGTCAAAGGTTAACATGTAGTAAGTTGAAGTGTTACACAACGCTCATCCGAAGAGAAACATAGGCTCCGCAAAAAGAGGTGAGCCATCAGAAGCTAAGTCAGGCAAGCTCATTAATGTCGTACATGTGTCCAGTACTGTCGCGGCGCCTTCACTGACGGGTGCTATTATTTTCAGACGTATAGGATCCCATGATCGTTATAGAAAAAGAGGTCTTCATTTGCCAATGGACGAAAAAAAAAACTGATCAAGGTTCAGGGTTGTTCTCACAAAAGAAAAAGCGCAAGGAGGGAATATAAACGCCGTGAGACAACGGAGCGATTACTTTACTTGTTCACCTTACCAAGAAATGAGGGGTACACTAAACTAAATCTGAGACCCGCTACAAGATGAAGTTAAAAAAAGAACAATCACACTGCGCTTGGTTTTCTAGATTTCCCTTACAACAGATTCGGCCAGGTGTAATGAAAAGCGCAGATTGTTACGATCTAGCAAAAACCAAATAGACGGAGTCCTTAGCAGAATATTTATTCACTCACTTTGTAACGCACAGAGTTTTCGATCACACATCATGTGTCCAAGGTTTGAACATAACTACTTCACAAAACTCGATTACATACACAAAACGGGAATAGGTTAAACAGTTTGTACTGATTCAAAACTATCTTCCGTTGCACACATTTAGTCACACGTTATCCTTCAGCATGGATGCAAATTTAGTAGCTGATCATGACCGAAGGTGAGCAAAATATCAAATCAAACTGTTCACCATCAGTCAGCTACTAAGTTTGAATCCATGATGCAGGTATTAAAAAAATACCAACATGTAAAACAGATAACATACTTACTGCATTTTTGATATTGCGCAAAAAAAAAATCAGTTATTTAACCACGTTAAAACGGACTAACTAATCAAAGCTTAAAAAAAATCAAAGCTTGGAAAACTGAACAGAATGTGAAGAAAGGCGAGAGGTTAGGTAGCTTTATTGTCAATTTTTCTCATGTTTCACCGAACCGATTTTGGCGGATTTTTAGTATGTTGTTAAGAGCGGATGTCAGTAAATGTCGACCAGAGGTCTACAAAACTGAAAAATCGAAAATTCTCAAAAAAATTCACAAAGTAGCACTAGGTAAGCTATTAACATAAATGTAATTTTTACTTCGATCCGATAATTATTTTCCACGTACGGGGGGGTTATTGGTTTCGCGGCTCTCGGACCGGGTTTTCCAGGCCCGAGACCATGTGTCACAAAAAAACCGTTTTAAACTTCAAATCCATTGTAATGTGGACAACAAATAACTTATTCAGAAGAGTACTTAATTGCACACATTCTAAGTGGTGATTTACTCAGTTTGAACGAAAGTGTAATATTTTGGAGATTTTTCATTATTTTCAATATTTTGATCATTTTCGTTCAATGAAAAAGTGGCAAATTTCAAAGCCCAAAATCGTCGACTGGTACCTCGATTTCAGTAACGAGTCTTATACCACGTTAAAGAGCGTTATCTCTTCTTTCAAAATCTGTTTTCAAAACCACGGGCAACTTAAAAGAAAATTTTTGAGGCCAAAAAATACAAGTAGTACTTTTCTGAAATTTGAGCTTTCCAGACTCAGCGGGTCGATGCTAAAAACTCAGAAAAATGCAATAAGAAATCAATTTGAGCAACAGTGATTTAACGTTATCAGCTATCAGAAACCAACAAGTGTTTATCGAGCGATCTGATAAAATTTAAAGCCGTTTTCCAACAAGAAAAGCAGAGTTTAGCCATCTTCTCAGGAGTACCCGACGGAGCCGCTCGACAAAATACCCGCTCGTCAGGCAGAATTTGAGCTAGCTGGAAAAAAAAACATTTGCTAGTTAGCTGGCTGGGAAATCTGAATGAGCGCCTTGCTAGCTGAAAATATGAAAAATTTATGCCGGTTCTGGCTGGATAAAAAGGTATATTTTTTCTCCTGGCAATCGCATTGTAATTTTTTATATGGATATTAGAGCGGGCGAAGCAAGTAAGTGCGCGTGGAAATCACCCCACGCGAGCTGTGGAAATGACACCTTTTGCCTGTGAAAACGGAAATTTGTTTGGGTGTGTAAGCAAAACGTCCTGCTGTGAATACCTTGTAAAAGATACACGTAGTGAGAAAATGACACAGTTGAGTCAAGCACCGCTCACCGCTTTGTTTGTAGTCTTTTCGCTGTCGATCCTTTATAGAAAACACTTTTGTGTGTTCGTGTTTTAATATGCCTGTCTACATATCAGCTACTGGCCTACGTTCTACTTTAAACCTGGTGTTAACGCGGCCAAAAGGTAAGCAAAATGGTTGTGTTTCTTTGTCAGGTTGCCGTGCATGTGTATCGCATTAAGAACATTCGCTAAGGCACATAAATGCCATCAAATATTGAGACGATTGAATACAAAAACTCTCTCCAATAAATAATACACTCTGGCCTCTTAGGGGAGTGAACTCAGAACTGATTTCATTCGGTATGCTCGTTTGCAATGTTGTCCAGGTTTGCGCGCTCAGGAATATTTCCGTTGGAACCAATTTCTCTTTTTGTTATGTGCTCACCGGGACGGAAACCTCCTCGATCTATGGTCATTTGGAAGGCGTTTAGCAACTGCACAGGTATCTGTTAGGATCAGAAAAGGTAGGAAGATTTTACATTTGTACTACCCGTATATTGATGTATTTCGCGTCCGTTATGTAACTGTTGTTTTTAAAAAAGGCAACATCCAAGTGTGCCGTTGCATTTCAAAGCTAACGTCTGTGTAGTAAATTGTAGTATAGCGGGGTAAATCCCGAACGGCTATCATTCTTTGACTTTCATACCAGTATCTGTTTTGACGCTGACGCATTTCTTGCTCTTAAAGCTTTTTATCGTATAAATTGTAAGAGCTCTGTTAGCAAATTTATTCATATCTTCGAACACAGTGACTCAGATTACATATTTTTGGTGATGTTTCCCGGCTGTAGGACCTCAATTTTGACAGCGGGCGTTACCGGCCATGGTTACGTTTGAGAGGCTCTTTGGCCAATGTAGAAAAAAAGAATAAAAAATAGTTTACAATTTTCTTGCCAAAAAATGAAAGAAAATTACAAATGTGAACAGTATTTACTTATTTTCCTAAAATTGCTGCAAGCAGGGTTTAAACTGGACTATTGAATAAACAAATTAATAGACAACTAGGTTGTTCTTTTTGCAACCATTTGTCGTGAAGAACAGGATATTTTTCTTTGGAGTTTTTATTTTCTTCTGGTTATCATGAAGTTATTGCTTTCTACAAAATAATCGCCCTCACAACTCAACCGTAGCCTGCGCAAAAGGCGTCATTAAGGTGCTTAGAGTTGTTTAGAGGCGCGAGCGCGAAGCGCGAGATACGCAGTAGGACGCAGTTACGTCACGTTTGCCGTCGTCAACTCGATTTTTAAACGTACCGAAGAAGGTTTCACCTAAGCTTATCTTATTGCCAAAAGTTACAAGAATTTTTCTGTAGCTGTATTAAAACTGAAGTACTGTTGCTGTTCGCAAATTTACTATGACGGTCGCTTCAAGCAAACTGATAAAGGTATTGCTGCATTTATTTTACTTTGGTGGGTCTCTCTGTACCCAAAGCAAAATAAGCTTGCCTTCCTTGGTGTGATCTTACTTACATTTGTTTCAACTGCG